AATGGACTACATGAAAACGAGGTTGGCATAAAAAATATTGCATAATCCCTTTCTTATAGTCTAATTTGCTTAGTTACCCATTTTGTAATGTTGAACAATTTTTTAAAAAGTTCAAAGCATTAAGGAGGTCACATGACTGTTTTCCTTGAGAATGTAAGGGTTGTGTGGGTTCCCTGTGATTGAAACCCAAGTTAATAAAATATTTTATCTTTCAAAGCCATATTTATTGGGTTTTTGATAACAAAAACAATTTAAACATATCTAAAGAGCTGTAAGTGCCATATCATGTTTTAAAATTGTAATTAAATGCTGCATGGAATTGAGACTTACCCCCAAACACTGAACAGAGATTTACCTTAAATTGTTAAACTTATTCAAAGTGCAGCTGCCGCCACATTTGCATGAATCTGTACATGCCAAATTTATCTTTGCACACTTGCATCGCCCAGCACAGGCTACTCTGCATCCACACTTGATAAGTTCATAGCACGTGTCCTTTGCTGGTGGAGCATGGTCCATGACGGTAACTAGTGACTGTCATCACGCTTTCATCACCAATCTGCAGGGCTGGGGAGATCTGGTGTCTTAAAATACTAACATTCTTAGTGGTGCATTATAACTTTTCTGGTGGGGGTCCACAACCTGCTTCTTTCGTGAAGATGTTATAGCTTTGCCTGGAATGTTCCACTATATCTCATTAAAAATATCAGTCTTGTGTTTATTCAGTTAAGGACTGAAAATGTGTTAATTGCTCAAATACATAAAATGCAGAAATTCTTACATTTAGCAGGGTCTCTTGCTTGTCACCAGGGAGATGGATAAGGTTAATGCCATACTGTGAAAGCAAATCAATAACATCTCCATGGAGACAAGCAGGTATTTTACCTTCCACTGGAAATGTTACATTGTGCATCTTTAAAGCTGTTAAATTGCATTGTCCTTTTACATAGCCTATATATCTCACATTATGGGAAGAAAAAAAACATTATTTCAGCAGTTTAAGCAAATATTTATTTAATTAGACTTTAATGTTAACATTTGAGGCTAAAACATAGTCAATTTGTAGTCTTAATAATGTGTTTATATCTTTATTACAATCCATATCTCACTGCAGTACAGGTGTGAACAGAGCCTCCTCTTTAGATGAGATATATAGTCTGAACATCTGCAGCTCATTCCAGATTGAGAGATCGCAATGAAACTACAAAAAAACCTGTCACAAAACCTGGTCTAATATCACAAAACCTGGTCTAATATCACAAAACCTGGTCTAATATCACAAAACCTGGTCTAATATCACAAAACTTTTTCTAATCTCGCTTTAATTTGGTCATGATCCCAAATCACCATCTCCACAGTTTCAAAGTTGTTCTCAGTCTGTTGTGGGGTTACTGGAATGAGAAGTTCACCTCTGCTGGTGTCATTATTGTTATTATGATATTGTAATATTGTGTCGTGTGTGTGTGTGTGTTTTTTTTTTTTCTTTCTTTCTTTCTTTGGGGGTGGGGATACATTAATTTGGTGATGGGACACACCAAAATTAAAATCAAGTCAAAGACAATGTAAGAGCAGATGCTGCTAATCTAACATTATGGTAAGGATAATAAAAGGCAAGGTCATTTACACACTGGCAATTTGAATATAAATGCATAGAGATTGTTGGGCATAAATTTATTAGTAGTATTAAAGATCTACTATGTAACTTTTCTGCTGGGAGTGTTAATGGCAATGTTATATTGTTCCTCAGTATGGCATTAAACTTGTCTATCTCCATGGAGACAAGATAGTGGCACAACCAGGCCATGTTTACAGGTCAGATCTATGGAAAGGTGGTTATTTAGGTTATAAGGTTATATAAATAGGTATAATGCTATATGGCCAAATATTTCAGGCAAAGCAATGAAATCTCCATGGTAACAAGCAGGTGTAACATCCATAACAAGACTGAATTAAAGAAACTTAAGTCAGCTTCAGGTTTTATGTACAAAGCCTTGTATAAAATGCTAATCATTTGTGTAGTTATTCATTTTATATGTGTACTTTATACTTTTACTCAAGCACAAGTTTCACGGTAGTACTTGTAACTGAGTAGATGTTTTGCTGTGTAACTGTTGTTTTATTCACAAATTTTCAGTCGTCTTTTCACCATTTGAACCAGAAAACTAAAAGGAAGACCAACGAGCTGATTTAACCATTGGATATACAGGCTAAAGAAAGAGGAGGAGAGTGAAATGAAGATAGAAAATCAAACCTACAGAAAAATAATTTTCATGAAGTTTTACATTTGCCTTAAAGTGGGACTAAACACCTTAACTCCACCCACAAACACATTTCAAATGGAGCTGATAAACTGAGTTACCTGGAGGACTAAAGAAGAGTGATAGGAGAGGGGGCGGGGCTAGGGGGTATAAGGAGCAGTGTGATTGTTCTAACGGGCATCCACACTACAAACTCCACCCCTACAGCCAGGGATTTGTAAACAGAAACACCTGGCTGTAATCAGGGCAGTCCTGCGTGATGTCACATATTACGTGATACCACAGAGGCCACTGGAGTTCACACACACTCATTTTTACACAAAAAGCACTAGAAACAGTAAATAATACTATTAAAGATACACTGTGTAACTTTTTGATTCAGGGTCTGTCACCTGCTTGTTTCTATGGAGATGTCATTTCTCTGCCTGGAATGTTCCAGAGTATGACCAACAGCTCTACTTTACATTTATTCAATTACTGATGGTTTTATAGCTCAAAAATACAGAGAAAAACAGACATTCTGACTGTGAGTGGGGTCGCCTCTCCACAGATCTGACCTGTAACTTGGCCTTGTTTAGTCTTCATGAAGATAGAAAGTTTTTAATATCATGCTGTTAAACATTCCAGACAATGCAATAACATCTCTATGGTGACCAGAAAAGTAACACAAGGCACCTTTAAAAAAACAACATTAGTTAAGTAGCTGTTTTTTTGTGTGTGTGATTTAATGTTTACTTTCACTTTAAAAACAGCTTTTAAATGACGCTTTGCAGTAGCTAGTATCTTGATACACATTCTTCTTTATAACCTATGTGATAATTTAACATTATTTTCAAAAAAAGTGGAATAGTTTAGCTCCCAGCCTTGTTTGTCAGTCATTTTGTGACATGCGCAGTACTCGGCTCCAGGGTCGACTTGGGCTTGGTTCCATATCCAGAAATGTTGGTCCTAGAGATGTTAATAATCTGGCAAAGTTTCCTGCTTGTACCATAAAAATAAACAATTGGGCACTATTCTGGTCCTTAACAGCTCCTCTATTGGCACTGTAGTCAAGGATGATGGCTGATGATGATGGAGCTCCCAAGAGCTCAACTCTGCAGCCATATGTAATGTGTGACATTCTTGTTCTTCTTTTGCATGTATGAGACAAGAAGAAAAGATCTCTCTCCCCCTTAGTTGACGTCTGCTCCTTATGTGCACTATATACAGGATGATCACTCCTTTCACTGTTGAGATTCCCCTTTGCCCCTTCAAAAACCAACAGGTGTCGATCTCTGGGAACCTGGGGCATGGGGGGAATCTCAAAACAGTGAACAAAAAAAAAAAAAAAAATAATAATAATAATAAAAATCAATGTATATGAGTAAAGATAAGTTTCCTGCAGTGGTTGCACCACATGATGTTTTTTAAAATTCAGTCCAAATTTACAGGCAAAGCATTAAACACTGTAACAAAACAAGCTGGTTTCTCACAAAAGGTCACCTTAAACTATATTATCAAAATAAACATTTATAAATAAAACTTCATTATTGTTTTCTTTTTTAGGTCGCACCACATGACATCCAAATATGGCAACTGCCTCTCAGCTCTTAAAAACATGACTTTTTCAAATGTATGAAGGAGGGTTACAAACCTGCTTGTTGATTCCATGTGTCCTTTGCAAACTGGTGAATGATGTGACTTCCTCTTTTTCAGCTGAATTCAAAATAAAATAGTAATTTCTTGATGGTCGCACCACATGATATTTGAGAAAATGGACACGCTTGGACAAAATTTGTTTGTATATTATGGGGGAAATATTTATTTAAGAAAGCTGAAATTTCATGTGGAACTACAAAACACTTCATAAAATATGCCAAAACAGAAAGAAAAATTGCTCTAAATAGATACATAGATATATATATATATATAGAGAGAGAGAACATCAATCAGGTTTTGGTGATGTTTTGTTTTTAAAGAGGGGTTAACTATAGTACAACTTGCCCCACTGTGATTGTGACAACTTGCCCTGTACCCCCAAGCGCATGTCTCTGGGCTGTGAGTTTCAGTCCCAGCAGAGGATGGTGACCTTTCATAGTTTTCTTCATAAATTGTGCTAAGCAGTGGACACAGTAGGCTGGAACGAGGAGCTTTATGCAGAGGCTGTCCTGTACTGTAGTTTATACTGTTAAGGCCTGGTGTGTAACTCCAATTCTATGAATGTGATAATGTGCACTCATGAGTGTAATTGGTACTAAAAAATTAGAAATGTGACTGTTAAGGGCATGTGAAAAAAATAAAACAGTTTATATGCATTATAAGGTTTATAATTAGATGTATGCATATAATAGGCATATTTTGAGTTCCAAACCTGCTGCAGTATATCTATATTGGATCATGGAACAACCTTGTTTTCCCCCTATGAGGGTCAAGAGGTCAACACATTTTGCTCAAATACAAAGGAAGAAAAAACAATCTTGTCACAGTTTCTTGTTAAATGTGGCAAATTTTCATATGCCACAAGCTGTGGATACATGTAAGTATCCATGGCTTGTGGCATACTCATGTAAGTCCTCCTCGTGTAAGTATGCATGAGGAGTTTAATACTTATAAACATGGAATTATCTTTGATAACCCAGATTGCTGTTTTGCTACTTAATTTCCTGGATAATTCCTCAGACATTGAAAGCCAAAGTAGAATATCACTACAGAACTAACAAACTCAAACTGCATTTATCATCTGACAGGGGCTGAAGGACCAGAATGAAGTGCACAGAGGGCAAAAAGAAACTAACCATTTACCTCCTGGTGCTCTACGCATCTGTAATCACTACTTTCATACTCACTAACACACAGGTAAATAAATGGTAAAATGGCAATAAAACACATGAATACATGTAGATTAAAAGAGATTGTCACTCTTGTTTACATTGAGCGTTGTTATCAAGAGAGGGAACCTGTGGGACAGCTTTAGGTTGAAGAAAGAACTCTTAAAATCATTATTATTACTTAATCGTTCTATTAGTTATGAATGCAATCCTTGCATGTGAATCTTCCCTGCATTCCCTTCTGTTTTAAAAGTCACTACATGTATATTTATACTTTTCCTTCTTGAGGGATTACAGATATTTAAAAGGAAATACATTTTATTGTAGTATTTTTTCCATTAACTGCCAGAGTATACTTGTGTGAATGGTATTGTTTAGGCATTTTTCTTCATTTTATGCATTTTACAGAGAAAAGTAGTACTGTATGTTACTGAAGCACAAGCAGGTAACTGTCATATTGGACATCAAAAGAAAATATCAATATGCTTAAAAAATCTAATGAAATGCTAACAGTTTTTTTCTACACACTTCATATTACTCAGTACTTAGATTAATATCCCAATCATGTTTCAGAAAATAGAACAATTTAAGATTATTCACGGTCACACCACATGACTTTTAAGGTTTTAACCAATTAATGTCCATAAAAACACATTAAAAATGCTTAATCTAAATGTTACACATAGATTTCTGCAAACCTGGCATTGTAAATATCTGAAAAAGTTCAATAGAATTTTTTTTTTATATTTAAAAATTTGACTGTTGAAAATCCTTATTTGTCATTGACTCATATATGTGTGTGTTAATGAAATATCCTCACGTTGTTTATGCATTATTCTGTTTTTAGAGCTTCGACTTCAGATTGCACCATTGGTACAAAACAGCTTTTGCGTTAACAACCACAACGTCACCACTAAAGACAACTAAGCCCACCACCACATCCACAACGCAGTCTAAACCTAAGTTCCAGAGGTGCAGTTACAAATACCTCTCTCCTGCAAATGAAGAACAAGGACGCAAACTATTGGACTCAATAACCTGGCCTGACACTCTGCCTCTGCCCAAACCATTTTCACTGACTTTGACGACTAGTGCCTCTAAAAGTACGTTCACTATTGTACCTCAAAGGGATGGCTGGCATATGGGGGATAGGCTGACAGTTTGGATTCAAATGAAGGATTTTTATGGAAACCCAAAGAGGAGCGGAGGGGACTTTGTAATTGCCAAGCTCCAGAACCTGCAACTAGGGGCAGGTGTAGTAGGACAGGTGCAGGACCACCTCAACGGAACCTTTACTGCAGTGTTTCCTCTGCTGTGGAATGGGACTGCGAATGTAAAGGTAAGTGATTGACTCATTTAAAAATTCAGTCAGTGGCTCCCAGTACAGAGTTTAAGTCCCACAGTGTTCCTTTCTCGCAGCACATAACTAGAGATAGACTATATGTTTGTTTCATGGTTGATGCAGATTATTTACACTCCAGAGTAACCAATGGCCGATAAGCTCTGGCCCTGCCGAATTAAATTTACTACAAACTCATCCAACCTTTAAGATAGCAGTGTAGGCACATTTGCAATTATCTCACCCATTAAAGTGTTCAAATAAAGCTTAACAACTACGCCGTGCATTGCACTACCACACAGCAATGCTACATACATCTCAAAGTCCGCAGAAGAGTGCGCACTCTTTTAGTAATATATTACATATGTATTTGTATGAGTGGAGGGTGGGTTCACTAGTGAAGCATTTATGGACTCAGTAACAGTAATCTAACCAGTTGGTAGGTTTGGATCCCCTTATTAACTACTCACACAATTCATTCTGGTATAAAAGAGAACAAGGGCAATGTGGTATAAAAAGTTATTTAGGTACAGGTACACCAATAACAACTAACAATTTAAGCTTTGTAAATGCAGAATTCAACTCAGATCTATCTAATCACAACAAATCAAAGTTAGTAATGTTAAACCAAGCATTAATGAAAAACAAACCAAACTAATTAAAGCCTACATTTACAATAAGTTAGTAAGTGCTAGTGCTGTGCAAACATGAATGATGTGCTAATTAGTATTTAAAGTGCATATGGTATTTGAGGTAGGCTTTGGCATTAATGTGCATAGAGTTCTAGATGGATAAAGTGTATTGTGCTAAGGGGGCTGGGCTAAAGTAACTTGTGGCCTAACCCTGAGGCCTAACCTTCCATTGCTCTGCGGACCCAGCCATATATTGCACTTCCCTCCAAATCCCAGCAAGACCTCAGCTATTATCCCACAACAGTCATCAAATAAGAACTAACACTAGGTGTAAGAATAGAGCAAGAAGAGAAGCAGCAGCTGCAATCTGTCACACAGGGAACGATAGGTTAACTTCAAGTAGACCATTAACAACCCCAACAAAAAGGCATTTAGCTAGAATTTAGACAAAGACACTTCACATGGGGCTTGTAGCATGACTGGAGCAGACGGCGTCACCACCAACTCCATACAACACCTTTAACCTGGATATAAAGACCACATTAGGATAGGCTTTAAACATCAGTCACTGTCAGAAAACATAACTACAGCTACTTACAAGTGCCACAGAAGGCCCGATAATCACACTTGACGCGTGCGCACCTTTTCTAGTTTCTAATCAGTGACGCTGGGAGCGCCACACACGGTGTTGCATTCATGGACGCACCACTGTGGGAAATTAAAAACACTGCTGACCACCTGGTTACAGTAACAAAACACAATAGTGGGGAGTGGTGGAAACCCTTCTAGACTAGACACAAAGAAACTACATCGCCCATTGGCCTGCGTGCTGTGAGACAATTGTGCCTCTAACTATGTGCCAATAACTATTTAGCTATTTCTATAACAGTACTTAACTTTTATGATAATACAACTTACATTTGTCTTAACCCTCAAAGCCCTACACTGTGTGTATTAGGGCTTGGGCTTGGGCCAATGGGTAGTGGGAATCATACTCAAAAATGACCACTGGTGTTGGTTCTTTGTAGGTGATGCTGGTGCAAACTAGTGAGTCCATCACTGTCTTAAAGCACCTAACAGAGGAGGAACCTGACAGGTTCACCTTCGGCAGTGACTTCAAGTCTGGATCAGTCGAAGACACTAGCTTATGCAACGTGTGTCTGGATCCAAACAAAGCTCCACTGTGTAACTATACTGACTTACACACTGGAGAGCAATGGTTCTGCTACAAACCCAAAACACTAGGCTGTGACACTCGTATCAGCCACTTCAGAATCGGATCCACCCAGAAAATAAGCAAGGATGAAGAAGCTCTCTTCCAAAAGTAGGAATAATATAGTGATCTGTGTTTAAATATAGCTGCATTGAAACACTTGTTGTTGTTGTTGTTGTGAAATATAGAGCTAGATTTCAATGAGCATTATATAGTCATGTGTGTCTGTGTTGTAGGGGAATCAACTTGAATGCCCCTATTATGGCCAAAGGAGAAGACACTATCATGATTTTGCCAAAAGCAGGTACTGTTTCTGTTTCTTTGAATAATTTAGTATTGTAAAAGAGATAGTTTAAAAGACTTATGAACTCATTATAAATCACTTTTTTCTTTGTTCAGGTAAGCCATATGTGGGGAGTCCAGGACCTTCCGGATATTATTTCAACAATCAATGGCGATCACTACGTGCCCCTGCAGTACGTCAGTTCAACAATCCCTCAGTCATTACTGCCTGCCTCAGGGGGAAACAGTTACATCTGCTTGGAGACTCCACCATCAGACAGTACTACGTTCACATGAAAACAGCATTACCAAGTACGTAGGATCATTTGTTTAGGATCTTAATCTATGGGGATCTTTGGTCTTGCAGGTAAATCTTTGTACATAATTTTGAGGTATATAATGAGCCCAAGCACTCTTTTGTTTTAGACCTTAAGACTTTTGACAAGCACAGTTCAGATCAAAGTGGCCCGTTTTTGGCTGTCGACTACATCAATGACATTGTGGTGACTTACCGCTGCCATGGGCCTCCCATCCGCTTTTCAAAAGTCGCTGTGTCACAGCTGCGATACGTGGCCAATGAACTGGACGGCGTGACCGGTGGACCCAACACGGTGGTAGTGATAGGTGTCTGGTCTCACTTCAGCACTTTTCCCATGGAGGTCTACTATCAGCGCATCATGACAATTCGCAAAGCAGTTCTACGTTTGCTAAACCGAGCTCCGGACACTAAAATCATCATCCGAAGTGCCAACATGAAAGACCTGACCCTGTCCGAGAGTCTGCTCAACAGTGACTGGTACTCCCTGAAGAGAGACAAGTTGCTCCGGGCTGTTTTCAAAGATACCAGGGTGTTTCTGTTGGATGCCTGGGAGATGGCGCAGGCTCATTACCTTCCCCATGACCTCCACCCACAACCAAAAATCATCAAACAAATGATTGACGGAATCCTGTCCTACACATGTCCTGGAATAAGAGACATACACACACCCTTCATACACAGACGCACACACAAACACACTTTTCCTTAGTGTTACTCAATAAATCCTTCTGACTTTCTCTGAATTTCAGATTCATGGTTCTCTTTGATGCTTACACCAGAAACAAACATCCTTACAGCATGTACTGAAAATATATATTCAGAATACAAATTCTGAGTAGCTGTATTATGGTACAGTTACTTTCATTTTGTGGTATTCAGAATACGGTTCCTTGCCTAAAATCAAAGGAAAACGTGATCACACTTCAAACTACATGGTGAAGGAGAATAGAGAAAACAACTCTTTTGGGTCATCATTGATCAGCGATGTTTAAATGCATAACAAACAGTGAAACAGACATTTGTTATCTTAGCTTCTTTGCACTCTAATGAATAATGATACTCAATGTAATTCTATTCTATATATCTAGAACACCGTACTCTGATTGAACCAAGAAACAGAATATGTTAAAATGCATGTAAACACAGGCGTTGTAACTTTATAGTGTGTGATTATTTGTATGTTTTTTAAATTGCAAATATGTTTTAATTTGGTAATCTGGATGTATTTTATTTTTGAAAAGACCTGTACAGGATGCACAGTGCATTTAACTGCCAAAGAAAGTAGAAACAATGTTGCTTTTGTGATGCAGTTGTGTGTAGTAGCAGCTGTGTTGTGTGTGTCATCTGACTATCTGGAAGCCTTAATAACGTAATAACAGATTCCTGGTAACTTTCTGAATACATTTTTAAAGAATTATTAATTAGTGGGTGTGTTTGTGGTGGTGGCATAATCACTTTAAATTAAGATATTACAAAGATAAATTTTGCATGTAGTTACAATGCTGTGTAAAGCGTTTTTGTGGAATATGTCTGTGAAAAGCACTATATAAATAAAGACTTACTTACTTACTTACAAAAGCGTGTCGCCGCCTGTCTCCGTTTCTGTTCACTCTGGACACTTCTGATTTCCAGTATAGCTCTGAATCCTGCCACCTGCAGAAGTTCTCTGATGACTCTGCAGTGGTGGGGTGTATCAGAGATGTCAGGAGCTAGAGTACAGGACACTGATTGCAAACTTTGTGGAGTGGTCCCAGGCAAACCATCTGCTCCTGAACGTTGACAAGACTAAGGAACTGGTGACTGACCTCAGGAGGAAGAGGACGTGAGTGGAGCCCGTCACCATCCAGGGTCATGAGGTGGAAATAGTGGACTGCTACAAGTACATTGGCATCTAGTGAATGACAGACTGGACTGGAGGGACAACTGTAATGCTGTGTACAAGAAAGGCATGAGGAGACTCTACTTCCTGAGAAAGCTGTGTGTTACTGGAGCTCTTCTACCATTCTGTGGTGGCCAGCACCCTCTCTGTGGTCTGCTGATGGAGCAGCAACAGTAAGGGGACCCTTGGGTGGATTGACAAACTGATCCGTAAAGCTGGTCACATGTAATCGGCTGTGAGTTGGAGACATTTGTCACAGTGCACAGGGGGACACTGGACAAACTGCTCTCCATCATGGACACTCCTGCTCACCCACTGTACCAGACGATAGAGGGACACATAATACTCCCTACAAGTGTACAACAACTCACCCACTGCACCAAACTATAAAGGGACAGATAATACTCCCTACAAGTGTACAACAACTCACCCACTGCACCAAACTATAAAGGGACAGATAATACTCCCTACAACTGTACAACAACTCACCCTTATGTAACAGATAACCCTATGTCCTGTCAATCATCATATCATTGCTGCACTGTTTTCCTATGACCTTTTTGTATAAAGCTGTGATTTTATATTTTATCATTTATCTTTCTATTTTATTTACTTTTATATTTATATACTTGTACATTTACATTTATATAATTAGGTCTTACTTGACACCTGTCTCTTGCTATCTTTTGTGCTACCTATTTAGAATGTATTATTACCATTTATATTTTTGCTCTTTGTTATTATATTGTAAAGTGTGAGCTGCTATGTCCAAATAATTTCCCTTGTGGATCAATAGTTTGTCTAAGTCTAAATGTACCCACAATGCCGGTTGATTGACAAGGCATTGCACAATAGCTGGGAGCTATTGTGACGAAAAGCCTTGGACTATAAAGCCTGTCTGTGTATAAAACGCCAAAAAACGATGCTAGGACCCATTAATGAAGGTCGTTTGTGAAAATCATCCCATTAAATTTGGGAGAGTAAAGTTTCCCTTGAACTTGGTAGCATATGTCTGTGTTCCTAATCTTGATTTGAGTAGACCAGTGTGTTCTTTACCTTGATATGTTTCGGATGGCTTCTGCATCCTTCAGTAGGGTCATGTATTGTCAGGGTATGTGTAAAGGAAACTGGTAGATAAGAGACACAAAACTGAATTATAACTGAAATAATCTTGTCTACACCACTGGTTTGATCATCATCCTGGTAGTCTTCAGAGTATATAGCACTGGCGGACAAGGCTGGCAGTCATTGACCCTGTCCATGGAAGATGACAGAAGAGGAGCCTCCTTTACTTATATACATACACACTTACATACACACACATACACACACACATACACACACACATACACACACACACACACACACACACACACACACACACACACACACACACACAATTTGTGCTCAAGTGTCTGAACAAAAAGAACTCAGCGACAGTTTCAGTCTATGTGTCATGAATCTATAATATAAAATGTGTTTGACTTTTTGAAGTGAGTAGCATATTCAAATTTTTTGACATATTCTAGTATAATTCTCATAAATGTAGCCTTAGTTCAGTAGAGATAGGCAATTCCAGGGCTAAAATTATCCAAATGATTCCAGTGATTCTGTGGAGTTTAAAGGGTTGTAGTGGAGTGTTTTCCATTTGAGAGGAACTCAGCCTAAACATGTAGGGTTTGTGTGACAAACATGTGTGAACAATACAAACTAAGTATTTTTTGATGTGGAAACATAACGTAGATCTGAAAGTAGCGCAATAGAGTATATATTTAAAACATACAATAAAAAGTCAGTAAGACAAGAACGTAGAAAAAAATAATTACACGGCCAGTAATGAATACAAATTTGCTTAAAATTACAATTATTTTAGTAATGTTGGAAACAAGGCGACTACCTAAAGAGCGACTGTCCGATCATTTTGTAGGTTGGTCTTAGTCTGTGGTATGCGCAGAAACAAATGGGACACTGCTGCCCTCTGTTGGAAAAATGTGTTCATTACAACAAGTGACTCAAATCTCCGCAACGGGTACAGCACAACCATCTGCTTTCCAACTTAATTCTGTAGTTGTAGTTCCCCAAATTAGACTAAAATTCTAGTCAGCTAACCTGTCATCTGAACCCATCACATTCCTAAAAATATTCAGACTATAAACATCATATTTTTTAAACCAGCTCTGAAAAACAAAACAAACTCAAGTGTTAAATGAACCACTTTACTCTTCTCACATGACATCCTTTACATTTTCAATAGAAAAATAAAATTGCCTGCTTTGAGAACATTTGAACTGCCTCTATTCAAAATCACACTTAAAGTGAACGGGAAATACAGACTTGAAAACATTTGCTGCAGTTTCATTCAGAGGAGCACATTCATGGAGCTTCTCATTTGGTTCTAAGTGTCCGTTTTCTTTGTCAGGTTTAAATGCAGAAGCAGTTCTGGGCCGCTTCTCATTTCGCTCTTTCGTTCCTTCCTTCTCCTTGATCCCCCTCCTCGATTCTGCAGGAAATGGGTGAGAAAATCCCACCCACAGAGGAATCACAGCAAGGAGAAAGGGAGAAAGGATCTAAACTCCTCGCTGAGACCAATAAAATTTGATTCTTTTCTCTGATGTCTGCTCCTGAAGCCTCCGTTGTGTTTGCCAATTCATTTCCATTTGATTGACAGCTGAAAAACGAAGGCTTGAGGAGAGGAATCAAGGAGAAGGAAGCGAGGAAAGAGAATTGAGATGTAGCCTGGGTGTTGAGTGTCTGTAGATGAACCGGGAAGTAGAAGCAGAAGAGGTCCAGCAGGCAGGAACCATGCATAGCCACAGGTCAGAAACGAGCAGAGCAGAGGCAGCAAGGACAGAGGCTACAGACAGGTGAACGCATGTAGTCCCACAATTGAACAATGGCTGTCAGAAATCACTTAGCCCTCTTTTAAAATCCTAAATTACCTGTATAAATATAGCTTTGCAGAAGTCCCCTGACGTCATTAGCAACTGTATTGCTCATTTCAATCTTGCACAATTTTAGCATATGAAAATAAGCTAGTAAATGATCTTCCTCTGCCATAAGGCCAGAAATATCTACACAGAATTAACAAACATTCATCCATAAATGAAATGTTCAATAGGTCCAAATAAAAGTTAATGACTATTTACAAATCCATAAGTTAGTTTCTGGTTAGCTTTTTCGGTTGGAGCAGTTCTGAAGATCTTTTGACATCTTTTCAGTCTCCTCCAGGTCATGGTCCTGCCACACAAACATAAATAAATATAAATGTCGCAGAGCAGAGAAGCTGAGAGAGCCAGAGACACACTGACCTTCTTGAGCACTGTCAGCAGCTCTTTGACTGTAGAGAGGAGAGTGTTTGACGTTTTACTGAGGTGGCTGTGGTACACGCTCTTCTGCTCCTCTGTGGACTTCAGAGCCTCTTCAGCCTGACTCAGCGCCTCCTTCACCTCCTCCAGCTCTTTGGTCAAGGTTTTGTTGGCCTGCTCCAACTGCGTGATCACCTTCACATCCTCCTCTAGATCAGACAAGAAAAACAAACAGTTGAAGTATTAAAAAAGGGCCATACTCATTTAAAACGCTGATTAAAGAATGTTCTCTGACTAAACACATGTGCCAGTCTGCTCAGCTACAGCCTTCAGATATGAGTGAAGAGTGTGTGGAGCAGAACTGGACTTTACTGTTGCAAAGCTCAAATTGAGCCAGATCACTGTCCTGGTGGACTACTGACACAGAGTGTAGCTTGCTGCATACAGACTGGTGGGTCCTGGTATTCTCAGTCTTCACTTGTCTAAGCAGATTTATGATAGGCCAGTGTATCAGTGCTATTGCATATGTTCACTCATACCCATTTTGTTGTCCTGCACAAAGAGTTTCTGTTCTATGTCCTCTCGAGCCTTCTCACTCTTCTCCAGTTTGTGCATCATGCTGCCCACATCCACCATGGCCCCATTGTACACAATCAGATTTCCAGATTCACTGGCCTCAGCCTGAGGCCGCACCTTGGGAGCAGGAAGCAGGGCCTTGTTACCTAAACAGAAATACATCTTCTGTGAGCGCAAAAATACAAAAAAACCTAAAATATGAAACCTTCTGATGATGTGATGGCCTCAGATAAGTGTGGATGTGTTGTCCATCAGAGCTTCAGCGTGGTGCATGATTTGTCCTCAAAGACCAAAGACACATGTAGATCTGCAGGAGACCAAACTCACCAAGCAGGTTCTCGATATGGGCATCGTTGAGTGAAGGAGCTGGCTCGTCTTTGCCCCCGTCCGTCAGTTTACGATAATAACATGACTCTCGTACCACGGGTTTGTTCAGCAGTTTCTTTACCTGCACAGAGCAGATCACACGTTATTCAGAATTACACTCAGCAGTTTTACAAGTGTCACTTAAAGCCGGTGTGAGCGTTCACCTGAGCCCTGGACAAGTGCAGGCCTAAAGTGTAAAGGATCTCCTCCAGGTCTCGCTCCAGCAGATAGCCACAGTGACTCTGGTCAAAGTACACAAAGGCCATCAGCAGCTCCCGGTTATACGTCACCATCTGCTTCTTTTCCTAAAAGAAAAACAAACATTTCATGAACTGAGTTTTACAAAGAAGTTTTGTGTCAACAAACAATACTCCACCTGCCTGAAGACTGATCCTTTTTCAAAACCATACTATGTCAAGTACAAAGCAAACTCAGTTCGGATTTTTCCACATTTTTTAATTAAGAAATGGAATAGGAATAGTACATCATTGTTTGCTTTAAGTGTGATTTTAACCAGAGTAGAGCTTTAATTCAATTATTTGCTTAAATCAACTGTAAACTTCATCCCACCTTATCTTTGGAGGAGCGCTCCTTGGAGGACTTGCGGTCGTCCTTACGATCCTTCCTGTCTCGGTCACTGGAGTCCACCTCATCTTTATCTAAAAAGACAAGAATCTGACATTACATTTCCAAACAGCAACAGGGCCTCAAATAAGTGTGGAAGTGCTGTCCATCACGGCTCAGCGTGGTGCATGAGTTTTCCTCAATGACCCTGTGATAAGAAAGTAAAAATGTAGTCTAACCTTCATCGTCCTCATCGTCATCAGCATCCTCGGCCTCCAGAGGGTCATACTCTTCTGCTTTGGCCGGGCTCTCATCGTCTTCATTCTCGTCTTCATCTCTTGACTCCTCCTTTTTCACCACCCTCTCTTCAGGCTGATCACACACAATAAAAATAAATAAACAAGTACAGTAAAGGGGCACATTTGTTACAAGAACATCAATAAATCCTTTAATGTTCATTTGGATAGAACAGTTTTTGGGCCAGAGATTAATATAAATGGACATAGCTAATCCATGAGCTGTCGTGTTCCAAATAGGAACTGAGCATGGGGGCGCAACTGACTCCAATTGACTTTACACTGAAAAACTCCGTCACTCCTCTCTCTGTAACTTTGGTCTTAAAATGTTTGTATTAATAATTACACGATCCTGGTGTTTTTATTTAGTATTTTTTTCTGTAAATAAATTCCCATTCCTAATATTGAATTGTGTTCCAAATTCACCCTATAACTGTTAAGCCTCGTAACCTTCATTTGACATCACACTCCCTTAGTCTACTTCTTTCTAAAGTCTACGCTTTGAACACAGAAGAACCCTGGTTTGTGACTGTACCTTGCGTTTATCCTCCTCATCCTCTCTGAGCTTCTTTGTGACAGGTTCCTCTGAGTCGTCGTCTTTTTCCTTTTTGATTTCTCGTTTTTCTGTCTCTTTCTTCTCTGCCTCTTTTTTAGCCTTCTTCTCCTTTTCCTTCTTCTCATCCTTTGTTGGGAGTGCAGCCAAAGCCTTATAAATCCGGAAACCAAAATCTCGCTGTAGCATTTCATTGAAAAGCTCAGCAAAAAGTGAAACCTAAAAAATACAAGAATATGGTAAATCCAAATTAAATCAATGAATGAAATTAAATCAAACGAAAAGAATTAAAAGGGTCCATATGCAATTATCTGATCTTATTCTAATATTGTCATCACAAACATGCCTGGAATTGTGTTTTCATTCACACCTGTTTAACATATAAAACCTGTATGTTTATGCTCAGTTCTTTTAAACAGAAAACACTCTGTTCCACCTTGTGATGTCATGTAGTAATACAAGAAGTGCTCTACTGTTTTTGAACTTTCAACCGCTTCAATCTGGATAATTTCAAGCGCTTGAATTCAGGTCAAAGGAGCTGTTAACATGAGAAGGTGGAACAGAGCATTTTGAGCTTTAGAGATGTAGACAGACTAATAATAAAGCGTTACTCAAACATGTGTGAATGTAACAAACAACACAACTGCAGGTATGTTTTTGAGGAGGTAACAACATTCTAACATGACTAAAAGCTCACAAGAGTCAGTTGTGTATAATACAGGTCCTTTAAATTGTGTCTTACTTCAAATGAGTGCTCCTTGTTGTCCTCCAGCCTGTAGTCCAGGAGCACGCTCAGAGACATCACGCTGCAGTCAAACTTGCCGTTCTTGGCTGCCCAGTTTGGGTGCACCAGGATCGTGGGCTCGTCTGGGAGGATGTAGCGGCGCTCTCTCCTCTGACGCTCAAGCTCCTCCTGTTTCTTCCTCTCTTCTTCCTGAACGTGACATTTGTTTCAATTAGTAGGGACACACAAACCCTGCTTTTTTAGCTCCGATATCGATAACAATACTGTGACTAACCATTTGCCAATATCCAATATTAACCTTCATTTATTTACATAAGAGTTGTTGTGTTATGTAACTGTTGCTCCTTTAATGACTACTGAACAGCTTTGGTTGAATAAAAGTTCAAACATTACGGGACCTTCTAAGCCTTAATTAACCTGCAAGTAGTCTTGTTACATCTAATTTAAGGCCAACCAGTACTTCTGCTTAACTGATACCAAAGCCTGCAAATTGTTCAGTATTAGCGAAGATATTCAGTATCATTATCAGTATTGGTGCATGCTTATCAATTAGAAATTGAGCCAAAACAAAAAGCAAAAACATTCAGTAACAGGCACCTCTTTGTCTTCTTCTGTGCGCACCGGCTCCTCTTCCTCAGGGACTTTGGGCTCTACTTTTTCAGGTTCTTTGGATTCCTCCACCTGCTCCTCCACTTTGAGCTGCTTCGTGAGGCGAGCGATCAACTGAGATTTCAGGCCTTTAGAGCTTAAAGAGCGGCAGTCCAGCTCTTTACGCAGGTCACTCACCTTCCACAGAAACAAAGGAATACACATTTAAAAGAGGAAAGTCTATAAAAGGTGACTTTTGAGGTACACGAGCTCTGTGGGTACAAAAATGGATCATGACCACACTTTAGTTTTGACTAAAAAGGTATATATTTTGAGCAAACTCAGCATATATACCCTTTTAGTTTTGACTAAAAGGGTATAAATTTTGAGCAAACTCAGCTTGTTTTGTCCACATTATGAACATTAAGAAATGGAATAGGAATAAAACATCATCGCTTGCCCTTGTGGCTCAGATGCCTTGGTTTTGACCATAGACTGTATAAAGAAGTGGCTAGCGGCTAGCTAATTTGCTAGACGGCGTGTTCTAAATAGAAGTTCGTATGCAGCTCTCCCAGCTCCTACTGACCCTGGGTCCCATTGACTTGGAATATCATCACCCCTCTCTAACTGCTGCTGTGAGCCTTGTCATTTTGGTCTTAAATGTTTATATTAACCCCCTCTACATGATCCTGGTGGGTTTTTTTTCCTCTATTAAAAAAATCATATTCATAATATTAAGTGGAGCTGAGTGCTATGGGTGACGTCACTCGCTTAGTCCACTTTTTTTTTTATACAGTCTATGGACATCACCCTAATGCACCCAGTAATGAGGTGCCAATTTTTTCAATGTAAAGTCAATCTGAGAAAGAGACAATGGAGCCAGAAGTGCGCCCATGCTCACTTCCTATTTGGAACGTGGCGGCAAACGGTTTAGCTATGTACATTTATATACTCTGCATGCATGTTCAAAGTACCTTCATGGACTTCGGATCAAGCTTGGACCAGTGCGTGGGAGTACTGACGTCTTTGGACTCGCTGTCGTCCTTGTCGTCTTCCTCCTTAGAGACAGATCATGACAGAGACAGGCAGAGAGAAGAAGGGAGGGAGGGGAGAGCACATAGTCAGTACAGCGCTCCTGGTGTTGGGGAGGTTCTAGTAGATCCGTGCAAGAAGCATCGGCACATCTGACTTATGTTTGTACATTTAGTGAGCTCGACTGTGCTTAAGTCCACTGCTACTGAGGCATACACAGTACAGCTCTCTAGCTTTTATAAAGACCAACACAAATGCCCCCCAGCTGCCAATCAACCAATCTGTGGAACACAAAAAAGGTCAAATCAATGAGAGGTGTGTGGGTGCAGCAGGTGAACTCAAGCTGGTCTCCAAACAGTGGACAAGGCCCTAGTATCATCTCTATAAAGTATTTACAATCTGTGTGTTTTTACAGCCTACGTTACATGTGGCCATCTGTGCTTCTGTCCAACCAACTGCCCTGGAAAAACCAAGCTCTAAATGGTGGTCCAAATGAAAATGTCAAAATCCAACATTGAGGACAGACAGGAAGCAGGGAAGGGGCTAGGGGAGGTTCTCTTTTCAGATGGGGTCGAGTCGATGTGAAAAAAGAACACACAGAAATGCACAGCTGACTCCACACATTCCAGTGTTTGACTTGGAATCGGAAAAGGTTCAATATTTAGAAGACAAACAGAAGTCGTTTAAGTCCAAGTTTTTTAATCAAAGGAAATGCCAATTGTCCAATTAAATGGCTTTTCGAGAACTGGAAGTTGTTTCAGCAGCTGCCATTGGAGCCTATTCTGCGTCCACTGAATGTGTCTGCTGGATTCGGGGTGGTGGGGTGGGATGGAGGAGAGGAGGGGGGACAGGTGGAAGGTTAAACAGAAGAAGCCTAGGTGAAATGTGCCTCTGTGTGTTTATGAGGGTGTGCACTGTATGCTGTGTGTCTGGTCTTTGTATGATCTAAGTCCTGTGCCTTCCTGTGAGAAGCGGAAAATGAGAAGAAGGAGGGATTAGCGGTTCAGTGCCTGTTCTCCATCCGCCTCCTTGCGCTCGGCCGACAGCTTCTCAGCCAGCTGCTCCCGGAGTCGCCGTGACAGCACCTCCCACTCTGAGCGGGTGGGAAGACAATGCCAAACATCCGGCAGAAACAAAACCACTGTCTCCACATGAGCGGGGACAGTCCGCCCTTTGTGGGTCTCCTCTGGCCGGTGATAGCGGATCTCTGCAAATCGATACCTGTCGCAAAGGAAGAAGGCGCATTGGAAAGAAACATCGTGGTCAGGACACAGTTTAAAGACAGCTAGCCATTACACTGAGCCTTCCCCCACCACACACAACGTCTGCAGCGCTCCAACTCTTGTCACGGGTTATGGCAGCCATTTTCAGAAGGTCCACAAAATTAAAGTAAAAAAATAAAATCACATTGAATGATTCACACTCAACATTGGCCCCATTAATAGCCATCTCCAGCCAATTATAGATGGTGAGTTCTGCATTAACCTGGAGTCTAAGGGCAACGCACCACAACCAGGGTTGTGCGAAGGAAAAGCATCAACAGGACAGTGAAAGCCAGTTAAATATATAGAAATATTTAACAGTGATTTAACAAAAAGAACAAAAACAAAAAATAAATCAAAGAAAACTTAATAACAGCAGTGTCTTCTGGTCCAGGCTACTGCTTCCAGCCACAGTCCATGCTTTTTTTTCATCACAATAAGAGGTATGCACACA